TTTGGTCCCGGTTCAAGCCACCAACCAGGACCAATGGTGGTGGGCCAGGAGTGAGGCCCATTGGTCCCGGTTCGTCCCACCAACCGGGACCAAAAGGTCCAGACGAACCGGTACCAATGGCCCACGTGGCCCGGCCGGCCCTCGGGGCTCACGAACCGGGTCCAATGCCCCCATGGGTCCCGGTTCTGGACTGAACCGGGACTAATGGGCTGGCCCGGCCTGGACCATTTCCCCCTTTTCTACTAGTGATGGGCCACATAGCTTTCAATCTCTTGGGTTTAGCAGATTCTTTGCTGCCTCATGAATCACTTCTTTTTACTCACCATTTTTCATACTAGATTGGGGAGAGGAATGGACACTGAAAATGGTATGTTGGTGTTTTTCATAGACCGTTGTGGTGATCGATATGCACAACCTAGCACCAGTAGTGTCATCCTAGTAGACTATGATTTGATGCATGAGAAGTTTTGATAATGTTATCACTAGTAGTGTGTTTTATAGTTAGATCAGTACATTTCAAGTTGTCGTGGCAAAATTTGTCGAACACACAACATTTTTTATCATATATAGCACTGCATTTTTATGTTATGCATCATGGAAAAAATAAGTGAGAATTTTTTTAAACGGTGGCAATTAATTATTTGTGAAGTGACATGGCATTTTTGGTTTAAGTATGATGTCAAAAGCCATAAAAACATTGTGCTCTCAACACATGGCATTTTTTCTAACAAACATGGCAAAATTGTGTTGAAAACATTGCATTTTTATCTTATATAGCATGTTAAATTTATATTATGCGGCATGGCAAAAATAAGTGAGAATGTTCTAATCCCATGGCAATTTTTTATAAAGTGACATGGCATTTTTTTGTTTAAATGTGATGGCCCCATAAATGTTTTTGTGTTCTCAAAACATGGCATTTTTCTAAATAACATGGCAACATTTTGATATTGGGTACTATTGCTAGTTTTTTTGCTGACTATTAGATGTGTGCCTTTTGTCTCACTAGTAGGTGGCTTAGAGTAAAACAGGTCAGCAGCAAAATGACATGATTTTTGGTCTAATTAGATCTCGCTGGTTAATGTTTTTGTGAAGTTTTGCTAATAAATTTAAACCATTTTGACAACTTAAGGGTTGTAGCTAGTGGGTTCACAGTTAGATGCCATGGCTAAAAAATCAACACATTCCTCACAGAGCGTGTTTAAATCCAATGTGTTTTGCATTTACCTTTTCCTTTCCACCTTTTCCTTTCGGCCTCAACATAATGTCCCAGCTGACCAAGTGTGTTTTGCGTTTACCTTTTTCTGCTCCCCACCAGAAGCGTCGGATCATCCGCATAAGTTCCTCACAGAGCCCTGCTGGAACCTTGAAGACGCTCATAATATAGACCGGGAGGGCTTGCGCGATTGCCTTAATCTTTATCTCCTTTCTGCCCATAGAGAGATGGTTGTCTTCCCATTCCATTAAGCATTTTGCAAACCTTTATTGTAGGCTTTTTAATTTTCCTTTGCTCATTCTACCATCAGGTGTCGGGAGACCGAGGTATTTGGCTTCGAAAGTTGCTTGTGTAATCTGTAATGTGCCCTTAATGCTCTCTTGGGTATGCGGCTGGCAGATCGGAGAAAACAAGATAGAACACTTGTGTGGGTTGATCACCTGACCTGTTCCTTGAGCATATATTTCAAGCACTTGTTTAACCCGTTCTGCTTGCTCACTGTCAGCCTTGAAAAACAACAAGGTATCATCTGCGAAGAGTAAATGGGAGATACCCGGGCACGTCGGCACACCTTGAATGGCGTAATAGATCCCTGGGACGCTTCACGGTGTAACGGAGCAGAAAGGCCATCAGCAACAAACAGAAAGAGAAAAGGGGATAGCGGATCACCTTGGCGAAGACCTCTGGATGGGTAGAACGAATCAAGAAGGGTTCTATTAAATTTTACCGAATAGCTCACCGATGTCACACAGGACATAATCCAATCAACCCACCAGGGAGCGAAACCCAAACTCTGCATCATTCTTGTCAGAAAATCCCAGTCAACCCTGTCGTACGCCTTTGATAAATCCAACTTATACGCACAATAAGTCATAACAGGAAAAGGAAAACAACCGGATGGGATGCCATGCAGTATAGAATCTTGCAAAATTTCAAACATAGGAATAGTATGTACCTCAGTTTACGAACCAACCTGTGCGAGGATGGTGCACATTTGTTTGTTCATGATTTGAGGCTGTAGAAGTTGGAAGATCTCAGGTGTGTGCTTGCAGTAAGGCAAAGGATAAGTCCATGCTATACTGGCCAAGAGATGTGATTTAAAAGATCAGCTATGTGTCCCTTTCTCTGGTGCTTGTTGAAATTATAGAAACAATATGAATGAAATGCAGGCGAGGGGAACAGGTTGATCGGTAAAGCGGCTTACCACCGGGTGAGAAGATGTGGAGTTTTTTCATCAAGCAAAAAGTGGGTGGGCAATAGGAGCATACTGATTTACTGAATGTGGATGGTGCTTTCTTTCTTCCAGGTGAAGATGTGTGGAAACTGGATGTCGATGGTGCTTTTTTCTTCTTCCAGGAAACGAGATGGCTTTGCTGTACTATACATGATTCTGAAGGCTCTGTTAGTTGATGATGCCCTGAAGCTTCAGTGACAAGTATGGTCTGATGATGGCGGGAGTTTTATTCAGGGAAGCTCCTACTTTTCTCTTTTCTGAATTTTGCAAGGTGAGTAATCCTTCTAGTATTGTACTACTATTGATGTGAATAAACTAGCATCTGGTACTCTAATCATTTCTTGCATTTTGTTGGATCTTCACTTGGATGCAAGCAGTTTGTAAGAGTCACACATGCATGTAAACAATATGCATTATGCAAATTTTGTACACTGAACTCTGAATTTGAATCAGGAAACTAAACGTTAACTCTGAATCTTTCAAACTCCATGTGTGAACTCTGAAACTTATTATACCCAATTCAAGTCTGAAGCTATAGTAAGCAGTTAAAAATCTTTCAGGAGCCAAGTTAGCTCGAATCAGAGCAGAAAATTAACAGCAATGCGGCCAGAAGCTAATAGGCTAAACTTTTATGTACGATTCACTTCAACATTTATACTCAGAAGAGTATCAATATTTTCCATTATCACAGCAGTATCTGTATGACAAGAGTTCTTATGTTTTCAGAATATTGCGACTGGGCCTAGCTAGTTCTGATGAGAAATCACTTTCTTATATCTTAAATACATCAGTACGTAGAAGGGAAGAGCATTCACTGTTGCTTGGTAAGGGAAGAGCATTTTCTGAAGTAGAGAAGAAGAGATGATCTGGATGATGGTTTTGTCACTGATCCAGTTAGTGCTTCACTGTTGCCGCGTCTTGCTTGACCGAGATCAAAAACCAACTCAAATCGGTCGAGGGTTCTGCTCGTGCTGCCCAAATCAACTTCCTGCAAAGAAAAACGTAGGTGATGGACGGTCCTTGACAATCAAAAAAAATATCAGCAATGGAGGTTTTCAAAATTTTATTACTCCCTGCAATCCGAATTAATTCACGCGATCTCTATACAATTTGTACATAGGCTTGTATAGAGGTTGCGTTAATTAATTCGGATGAGAGGGAGTAGTCGAGTTTGGTGTTGCATTGATTTTGAAATGCACCTTCCATTTTCTTGTCTTTGATACTTCAACAAATCGGTATGATATCTGTGAGAAGAAACATATTACTCCCTCTGATCCATAATAAAAATAAATAAATTAGACCACCGGGGAAGGAACCGCGCGACATTATATAAAGAGAGAATGTGAGACACAAAATTCGACCTGAAGAGGGGTTGAACTCTGGTAGGCAAGGCGAAACCACAGTGCCCCCATCACTGGGCTATGAGCTCATCCCTCCCTCGGATCCATATTACTTGTCACAGCGGTATGCGGCGCTGGCAAGCAAACGCGCCCCCATGCGCGTGCTTTGGGACAACCCAAGTGTGGGGCGGGGCACACCCCTTTTTTTATTCTTTTTTAACTTCCAAAAATGTTCAAATATCCCAAATCCAAAAAGAAGTGGGGATTTGAATTTTTTCCCCGATTTTTAAAAAATAATATGAAAAAATATATCATTTTTTTTCAAAATATTCACAAATTTGCAAATGTTCAAGAATGTGAAGAGCAAAAAATGTTCTCGGACTTCAAAAATTGTTCACAAATTTGAAGAATGTTCATGATTCCAAAAAATCTTCACGAATTGAAAAAATATTCATGAATGCAAAAAACTTTTCATGGATTTGAACAAAAAAAAAATTTAAAAGACTTGGTTTAAAAAATTCTCGTATTCCAAAAAATGTTCTTGGATTTCCAGAAGTTGTTCGTGAGTTTGCAAAATTTCAAAAAATGTTCAGACCTTAAAAGAATATTCCAGGATTTCAAAAAACGTTCGTGAATTTGAAGTAAAAAAAGGAAAAGGAACAAAATAAAATAAAAAAAGAACATGAAAAAAATGAAACAAAAAACCGGGAAAAGGGGAGCTAGTTGGGCCGGCCCAACTAATGGAGCAGCACCACAGTTGCGCGATTTTGTTCCATGCTCAGCCTCTCTCCTGTCAATTTTTCTCTAAAGTTCTTCTCTCTATTTGGGGTTGATGACATTCTCATAGGAAGGTGGAATATCCAGTGGCCTTCTCTTTGTAGGAGTAAGAACCTTTGGCAGCTTAGGCTCCGGTCGTTGAAATTTCATTATCGCTGAAGATTGATCTCTTCATATCTTTACATTCACATACATCTCAAAAGTTTTGATCTTGCTGACCACTGACATCATATGATTTGTGTCAGCATCACACCCAAGTACTCGCAGACCATCAAACAATGATTTCCCTGGCAACAACCAATACACTTCCAACCTTGTGACATCTGCATAGCCACATTGCCTAATGAAACCCTGCCGCTAACCCCTTTCTCCATAGTTGGACCTTCAAACCCCTGGATTGCGGCTATGGACGATTGACTATGGGCGGAAACACATGAATAAAAGTTTATTATGGCGGAGGCACATGAATAAAAGAAAAAAAAAGGTCGAACCAGATCAGATCAGACCCACGCAAATCACTTCCCCATTCCCTCGCCGCCGCCGCCGCCGCCCCGTCGAGATCCTCCTCCGCGGCGGCGCCGCCATGCTCCGGCTCCGTTGCAGCCTCCTCTCCCAGCTCCTCTCGTCTTCCCCCGCCTCTCCCATCTCCCACCTCAGCCGCCTCTCCTCCGCCGCCGCGCCCGCCGTCTCCCCGAACCCTAGCTTCGCGGTGGCGGACTACCTCGTCGCCACCTGCGGCCTCACCCGACCCCAGGCCCTCAAGGCCTCCGCCAAGCTCTCCCACCTCAAATCCCCTTCCAAGCCCGACGCTGTCCTCGCCTTCCTCGCCGGCCTCGGCCTCTCCGGCGCCGACGTCGCCGCCCTCGTCGCCAAGGACCCCAAGTTCCTCTGTGCCAGCGTGGAGAAAACCCTGAGCCCCATCGTCGTCGGGCTCACCGGCCTTGGCCTGTCGCGTTCTGAGATCGCACGCCTGGTCTCGCTCAGCCGCGCCCAGTTCCGCTGCAGATCCATCGTCTCAAATCTGCAATACTGCCTGCACCTCTTCGGCTCCTTTGAGAAGATCCTCGCTGCTCTCAGGTACGGCTTATGCCTTCTCGCAGCCGACCTCGAGACAGTGGTCAAGCCCAATGTTGCCTTCCTGCGTTCCTGCGGGCTAGGTGACTGTGACATTGCCAAGTTGTGCATCGCTGAGCCATGGCTGCTCGCCTCAAACGTAGAGTGCGTCCAGGCAATGGCAGCACGCGCCCAAGCTATTGGTGTGCCCTGTGGCTCTCGGATGTTCAGGCACGCGCTGAAGGCTGTTGCATTCCTCAGCAATGAGAAGATCGCCGCCAAAGTGGAGCAGTTGAAGAAGATGTTCAGGTGGTCAGATGCCGAGGTGCGCATTGCTTTGTCCACGCTTCCATCTGTGCTGATGAGGTCTAACCATATGCTGGAGAGCAAGTCAGAGTTCCTAATCTCCAAGGTGGGGTTTGAACCAGCATACATTGCTCATCATCCGGCATTGCTCACATACAGCCTGGAGGGCCGGATCATACCCCGCTACTATGTTGTAAAGTTTCTCAAGGAAAATGGACTGCTGGATCACAACCGGAGCTACTATTCTGCAGTCATTGTGATGGAGAAAGTATTCGTGGACAAGTACATATCCCCTCACAAGGAAGTTGCACCATACCTTGCTGAAGACTATGATGCCGCTTGCAGAGGGGAAGTGCCGACTAGATTCAAATTTACATGAAAATTGGTAACAGTACGGCACAACGATATTTTTTACATTCCGTGTTATGCTATTCATTCCTGATTTGGTGTTCTTGGCCTAACTGAATTGTAGCTGTCTGCTATTGATAATCTATAGTATGTTCGTTACATGCTGATTTGATGGTGCTAGTCTAGGATGAAATTGGCAATCTGATTTGAGAGTATTGGTATGCTCATTATGACATTCAGTTAGAGAAGAAAGCATCATACTACTGCTTGTGAACTCTAAGGTCACACTGACATACATATTGGATTTACGGGAATCTTTGTGAAAACCATGGAGCGGCTGCTCCAGCCATGGATACCCTTCATTTCCACCTCGAGATAGGAGCCATGTCAGAGAAAGCAATGCAAAGTACTAAGCACTCTCTGACACATATCCCCACAATATTACGTTTGAAATGGATGGCGTCCAAGAGTGGACCAGTGGTTTCATGGAGCTAAAAAAGTCTCTCTAAGAACGAATGGAATTAAAGAGAGTGAGAGCAGGACATTCTGCAAATACTTTCAAGTATCTTTATGTTCTCAAATGACCATAGCATTTTCAGGTGCACCTCAATCTGTATTTTCATGAAAGAAGGTTCTCATTTTGGCCAAAGATGACACAGACTTCCAAAGTTTCTCTGGATGGAAGTATGTTTATCACCGCCAAGGATGCAGTTTGGATCTAGTATGTTGGTTGCTTGCTCTAGTTCTTCTAAGATGAAAATCTTTGTTCATAGTCGGAGCTGCGTTGTTTGGCCGCAGGTCGACATGTTGTCGATATGGGTGGGCTTTGCCCTGTGTGTCTCAGTTTATGGGAGTGGGCTTGGCCCTTGTTGTTCCGGTTTTTGTCCGGTTTTCCGTAATTAACTGGGCAATTCTCTTCTGCTTATTTAATAGATGAGGCAATCTTTGCCTCCGTTTCAAAAAAAAAAAAAAAAATCTTTGTTCATCCAGCAGTAGCTTTGCTTATAAAACTGTTGGGAAAGCAAGTCATTGTGTACTACTCAGTAGTTTGTATTCAGTTTTCCCCTTATATTCTTTGATTGATGGCCTACTGGTTGATATTTTTCATATGGCTTCTGATGTCAGAACTGAATAGTGCATTAGTTGGCTAGTAGCATTTTTGTTATCGACTTATCCATGTAGAACTATGTAACAGGCATTTTGGAGGCCCTGGTATTTGTGCTGCAGAGGCAAATTTCTGAAAAGCAGAGGGCATTTCATATAACAGAACTTTTGTTAAGTTAATCTTAAAACCGGTTATGTCATTTATCTGTCGTACCTTTTTACTAATTTTATTCCATATTAGCACTATGTAAATAGATGCTTAGGCATCTGTATTCCATATTAGCACTATGTAATTAGTGTGTGTGCTCTGAATCTGAATCTGATCTGATTAGTTAACTCTGAATCTTCCAGCCACCAAGTGAAGATATCTATAGTAACTGCTTAAATGTTATAGCCATGTTTGTTTTACTCAAATCAGAGCTGCAAAATAAACACGAATCTTACAACAAAGTTGGTCATTAATGCTAATATGGCAAGAACGTGTTGTTTTGTATTCAGCAAATGCTTCAAGTGTCATTGATGAGTACATTTGCACACTCTGTATGTCTATGTTCCCGATGTCCGTTGCAGTTTGCAATGCAATCCTCAATCTTTTTTTCAGTGAATAAATGTCATTATTTATGCGCAGCAAATGGCTCGAGTAAGTACTCTCGGTTTAGCGTGGTATCCATTGTACCTAGATTGATCTCAGGTGTTATACTAACATTTGTAGTCTATATACTATATCAAACCGGAGTTACTTTAGGCATTAACAAATGCAAACTGGCTTCCACTATATGGAATTTGTTTTTTAGTGTTGAAGAAATATATCTTGAGAGTTCAGAACTATGCCGAGCTTCTACTACTGACCGTTATGAAAGAGCATATTAATGCAGCACCTTTGAGGTGAGGCCAGCCAGATTGCAAGCACACCAAAACTTAGCCCAGAACAACCCACAAAACGTCCTACAGCCCTTGCCTATTTAAGCAGATGCTCCCTTTCCTTTTTTGGCAGCAATTCTAGACAAATCCAATCAAACTCCTCCCTGCTGCCACTTGGCATGCCCACATTGGGTGCGTTGTCGCCGCCAAAGCTGATGTGGCCGCGCTTGGATTCGTCGATCCAGATCGTTCGTGGATGATCCAAAGGACACTAGCTCCACACGCGTCGCCACCTCCGCCTCCAGCACGCATGAGCTCGCTCCCGGCCCCAGGAGCCGATCGTGGCACAAGAGAAGAGCTCCCCAACAACAAAAATAAACTCACCAATGTCACACATTCATCGAGTCCGCTGGCCCAAAACTCGGTAGTGTCTTGAGAAGTGGGGTCCACCAATGACCAGGCGGTGGAGACATGACGACAGTCTAAGTTCTTTGTGTTTTTACTAAGACATCGACTCAGAGTTGGAGTATCCCGAGGAGGAGGAGAACACTGACGACGCCAACGCCAGCCAGCCAATGGTTTGCGAAAAGGGTCCTCACCCAAATGATGTCATAGAGATGGCATTCAAGGACTAGACGCCAATACTGTAGCTAGTCTTAATTTGAGAGTCCATAAAATCCAGACTCATGGTCTTACTTAACTTGCAAGAAATGAAGATCTTCCTTGAAGGACTGGAAGAGATTTTGTACTAACTGTAACCCAGTTGTTTTGTTTAATTTATTGATCATTTTGCTCAAACAAAAAAAAGATTTATTTATTTTTGACGGGAAAAGGAAGAATTTTTGTATGAAAAAAAACCCTCATTGCATTTTTTTAGGGGTAAAGAAAAACAATCGTGTATACGAGGAGCGACTCCATCCCAGCCCAGCCTTATCAGAGCAGAGGAGCGAGTGACACATTTAGAGTGCATCGCATATCCTCTCGCTCTCGCACCAGCCGCCGTCGTTCCCCACCCCCTCCCTCGCCGCCGGCGCCACCGCGCCGCCGCAGCGCCATGCTCCGGCTCCGTACGTGCGTCCTCGACCACCTCATCTCCTCTCCAGCTACCTCTCCCGTATCCTCTCTCCACCGTCTCGTCTCCGCCGCCGCGCTCGCCGTTTCCCCAAACCCTAGCTTCGCCGTGGAGGAGTACCTCGTCTCCACCTGCGGCCTCACCCGATCCCAGGCCCTCAAGGCCTCCGCCAAGCTTTCCCACCTCAAGTCCCCCGCCAATCCCGACGCCGTGCTCGCCCTCCTCGCCGGCCTCGGCCTCTCCACCACCGACATCGCCGCTCTCGTCGCCAGGGACCCGCTGCTCCTCTGCGCCCAAGTGGAGAAAACCCTGGCCCCCAACGTGGCGGGGCTCACCGGCCTCGGTCTCTCGCGTTCGGAGGTCGCACGCCTCGCCTCGATTGGCCCCGAGAGATTCCGCTCTAGATCCATCGTCTCCAAGCTGCACTACTACTTGCCTCTCTTTGGGTCCTCTGAGTACCTCCTCCGGGCCCTCAAGAGGAACTTCTACCTTCTCTCCGCTGACCTCGACGATGTGGTTAAGCCCAATGTCGCTTATCTGCAGGAGTGCGGGCTAGGTGCTTGTGATATTGCCAAGCTATGCAGCCGTCAACCATGGATTGTCACCGCCAACCTGGAGCGTGTCCAGGCGATGGTGGAATGCGCTGAAAACATAGGTGTGCCCCGTGCCTCTGGGATGTTCAGGCACGCGCTGCACGCTGTTGCATTTCTCAGCGAGGACAAGATCGCAGCCAGGGTGAACTACTTGAAGAACACCTTCAGCTGGACGGATGCTGAGGTAGGCATGGCTGTTTCTAAGGCTCCAACTGTGCTGGCGAGGTCCAAGGAGTCGCTGCAGCGCAGGTCTGAGTTCCTCATCTCCGAGGTGGGCTTGGAACCGGTGTACATTGCTCAACGGTCGGAAATAATCGGTCACAACCTAGAGGGCCGGCTCAGGCCCCGGTACTATGCTGTGAAGTTTCTCAAGGAAAATGGATTGCTCAAGCGTGACCCAAACTACAGTACCGTTTTCAAGATTAGTGAGAAGGCATTCAGGAAGAAGTTCATATTCCCTCACAAGGAGGCTGCACCGCACCTCACAGAAGACTACGATGCCGCTTGCAAGGGGGACGTGCCGACTAATTTCAGATTCACATAAGCCAAGACGGGCTATGATGTAATTGGGTGCTGGTTGTCTGCTGTTGTATGACTGTTAGATGCTGGGTTGGTCATTGCTAACGTGTGATGGGATTGATAATTTGATCCCCAAATACTGGTATGTAATGCTATCACTCAGCAGAGAAGAAACCATTGATTGGTTATGAACTTCTCATCCTCATTCATGTTTTAAACACACTTATTGGAACAAAGTAAGTGTGAGGTCAGGCCATTCTGCAGTGCATTAAAATTTCAGTTTTCAAGTTAGTTGTTGGTGCATTGAGACAATGAGCCACAGTAAGGTCTCCTTCATGTGGGTGGTGCATTCCTAATATTCTACTACTGATTTTGCAATTCATAGTGGATAATTGGAGGATCAGTCTGATGTCCGTCCCAAATTTAGGTAAATAGTCTTCTTGGTGCGGTCAATTCACCTGGCTTTAGCTTAATCTGTTTTTCAGTTATGGTTTGATATACAAATCATTTTGGTTTGCTCATATGCAGATTCATAGTGACCCGTCTTTGTTTCAACTAATGAAATACTCCCTCCGTCCCATAATGTAAGTGTAGTGTCAAAAAACGTCTTACATTATGGGATGGAGGGAGTAGATACGTATTCATCCAACTATGGAAAGTGTTTGGAACTGAGTTCTCCTCTAGTTGGATCAGAGGTAACCATTTGGAGCCATTGGTCATATTGGAAACACCTACTGGGCTGCAGGATGAATTGTGGGGGGCTCACATATGTACAGATTATCTGCTAAAGTGAGATGGCATAACTAAACATCGAGCTCTCACTTGGAGGAGGGTTGGCAACTTGGCATCATTTAAGCTTAAGCCACTAAACTTAGGTTTCTCTCTTCATTTTTATGCTGGTAATGTTATTGATACAATGGAGAAGCACTTGCCACTAGTAACTTTACTGAGGCATTAATTTTGTATTGTGTGTTTGTGGATTCTCATGCTCTGCACCATGGCCATAAATTATGTATTTATTGTGGATAGCTTTAGTTTTTTTTAGTTTATTATTATGTTTTGGTCCCGTGGTTAATTCTTTGTGCCAAGCACCATCAGGAGGTTCACTAGCAGCTAGTTGGTGTTTCTTCCTTCTTTGTACATCTCCTTTAGTTTTGCTAAAACTCAGTGGTTAGGTTATTGCTTTGGTCGGTGTGATTGTGAATATAGGCACCAAACAATTGGTATCATGTACATCCATGCTCTGAATTCATGGTCTGAATATCTGCAGAGGCTGCAGGTTCTTAATTACTTCCCCCTAGTATCTTGTTTATTTGAAATGCTGTGCATAATGTGCTAGCCTTCTGGGGCAGATTACTTCCAACTCGCCACATATTCTGCACTTGAATTAGTTTTTGCCACCTTGGGTGTTCATCTGGAGGAAGCTATCATTGAAGTTCAGTGACGGATAGTAAAATTTGTTATATGTCTTGAACCATGTTTGATCTAAAAACACAAGGAATTCCAGTACTTTCTTTAACCTCCAAAGTAACTGCCGAAGCGTGCTAGAGTTGGTTTAACTTTTAGTTGTCAAGCAGATAGGTTGTAGTTGTAACGGTCTGTTTTTTGTAACAAAGTAAGCATTTCAGAGCTGGCCGTACTTCAACCTATCATACATCAATGTTTGCTACATGTCATTTTGCCGTGTTGTTAATGCTCTACTTATTTTACTTGTCAATGCAGGGTTATGGAAAGGCTCCCGGGGGTAAAAATTGATTATGTTGGAGAAGGACCTTAAAGATGCATCATTGTTCAACTGCCAACTATTTGTTGTTTCCAGTAAGACACAACCCTGTTGAAGTCTTGCAGTGATTTTTGCTCCTAGGTTTCATTAAGATTTTGTCGCTTTGTTGGCATTGATAAAGGATATTTTGTCGCAGTTCATGCAGTAAATCTATGTCATACACTTGTGTGTTTATATGTTTCATCAGGTTTGTCTGACCTATATGATGATATCGAAGCCCAACTGTACATTGACCTTGACTTGTTCTGCCCAGTGTAGATGATAAAACAGTTCCCCTTATAAGTTGTGATTGTTTGGATTGCTAGCAGATTCCTCTTTTAGCATTTTCAAATCTCTCATCATTCCTGTGCGTGTATTTAATTCTGTAACTAAAATGGTAGGATGCACAAGTTGACATTTGGCAATTGGCCAAGTAAGCTGTTAAGTTTATTAGTCTACCACTTTTTTCTGATGATGTCTAACTTCTCATGAACTCTTACATTTAGTTTTATATCTAAATTCTGGCTATAGTTTATGGATTTCTCGAACGGTAAAGCACTATGTTAGTATTTCATGAGATAATTTGCCAATAATATATTCGCAGTAGTGTTTGCATTTGTGTCCAACGAGCCAGTGTTGCAATCTACTCCCTCTGTAAAGAAATACCTCTGAGATGACCATGGTGTAGCATAAGACAGGTGGTATTTCATAGTGTAGCATAAGACAGGTAGTGTCCCTACTAGATTTACTTTGCTTTCATTGTCAGGTGGTAATGAAGAAATACCTCTGAGATGACCATGTGCGCTTAGGGGATGGGAGTCGAGTTCACTCACAAGAGATGGGCCATCATCCTTTCTAGAAAGACTTTCCTCTGGATATAAAACCTATTTCACAGGATTTGTGATCAAAGTTTGTATTCCAGTCCTGAAAAGCTCATTTTTGTATCAATCGAAGTAGCTGTAAACCCATAATACTTTTCATGTTAGCTTGGCTAAAAGCGGTTGACTTGCTACAGCTTCCAATTGCCTCCTCTCTTTACTCTGCAGTTCATCGGAATCTGATTGTACTTCATCTAAGTCAGTGTTTTAATTTTGCTCCCGATGTGCATATTCTTTTAGAAATCTTGGCAACCTTTCTGGTAGGGGTATTATCATAAGGTTAATGTTTCTCGGAGAAAAGTGTCGTACTGACCTTCAATCATCAGAGTTTAATGTAAAAATTGACTGCATTTAGAATTTTATAGTAGCAAGGGGCTAATTCAGTAAAGAAAAGCAGTGAAGCAAGTTAAATTTTAACTTGATACATGCTTAATACCGTAAACTTGAGAAGTATTGTTGCAAGCATGTGCCTGTTGCAGCCCTGATGGATACATTATACATTAAGAGTTTGTATGACATGGCATTCACCAATGCAGTCACATGAAAATGTAGCTCAAACTATTGATGGATGCCCCCCGCTCTTTTACCTGTACCCTTGTTTGTTTCTTAATAACTCTGTACTTATGTGTATAAATCTGACTATTGTTTTTCTTCATTTCTTCTTTCGTAGAGAATTGGAGTGTGTCCTTCCAACGATTGCATATCAATGCAGTCGAGATATAGCAGGCAATCAAGGTGCATTTCAGTTTATGTTTCTTTTCTGATATCTGGAATATATGTTCAGATTATAGTATCTGGAATATATGTTCAGATTATAGTAACTGAAATGTATGTTAGCTGCAGTTTGCTAAAGGGTGATATGCTTATGATCTTATGGATGGAAGCCCTAGAGTTCAATTGCCAGGACTTTCGCAAGGTTAGTGTACTGTAGGCGCAGATCCTTATTTAATTTACTATAAGCTTACGTTTTAGACTGCACCTAAGTTGACATGTTTCTATGGTCTACATTTTGCGGATTGGAGAGTTAGGATCAGCTGGCCCCAAGTGCAAAGAACTTCAAGAAACAACAAAGAGTTGTTGATGGATAATTCAGCCTGCTTGCTCCTCTGTTTGCCAATTGTTTGGAGCTACGAGGGTAACTATTTACTGTATTGTGGTAGATTTCTTTTGCTCTGATAACTAATCAATTTTAACTGATTTCAGTGTGCTAAATCTCTAAATGCAAAAACTGTATCACTGGATATGTTGCCATTCAGAGGTGGTGCTGGAAGGATCAGTGGCGAAGCCAACATAGAGAAGGAGGCGATCGTTATCGCAGCTGAGGGAAGCAAAAGCACGTGGAGGGGCATTCCTCATCCTACTGGTACATGTTATTCTTCCAGCAAGCGGCGTCAGTTCCAAAATGAAGATTTGCTTAATTGTGAAAGGATGTTTTGTCTCAAACTCTATATGGTCCAAGATATACAATCATTTCTCATATTACCTCCGTCCCAAAAAGGTTGTCTTAGATTTGTATAAATTTTGAGTCTAAGCTATCTTCCTCTGGTTTGCATAGATCAAGGGTTACATGTAGTTCCTCTTTATGCCCAGCCCGGCAAGGTAGCGGGTATATATGGAAGAAGCTATGTTGTTAATTTGTTATATCGTGATTTAAGACCACCAAATGGTTAGAATATTAACCCTCGGTTAGCATGGTATCCAATATGCCTAGATTGATATAAATTATTGCCTAGATTAATATAAGTTGTTACATTGACAGGCTATCTAAATGCAAACAGAGTTAGGCATTAACAGATGCAAGCTGGCTCTTCCAGATGGCATCTAATCTGTTTTCAGTGGTGTAAAAATATATCTTCACAACAATATGAAGCTTGTTCTGTAGAATGTAGTCCTTCAAAAAAAAAAATTGAAGCCAGAGATGTGACACTGGACATGGACAGTCTGAATTATCGGCTGTCTAGATTTTTTCTGTCCCGAGAATAGATTGCAAACTGTACCTGCATAGTTAACATTTTTTGTGCACATTATGTTTTGCTTCCATGGTTTGTAGGCTTATGAACTACTACTGTCTTCATTAAGGCATGGATGTGGTTCACAACTTAGTACTTTATTTTGTTCAAAATATCGGCTGATAAATCAGGTAAGTGGCTGATTAATCCCTACTCGGTGGGTCACCGAGTAGCCGATTAACTGATTTATTGGCTGATTAACTGCCGTTCGCCTATTAATCCCTACTTGCCAGCCGACCAAATAGTTACCAGCTAATGATTTCCTTAAAATTGTTTTATTTTGCTATCTGTTAGCATCAAAGATGGCAGCGGAATTATATCTTACTTATTTTTCTATGTGAAATTCAGTCTATTCATATATGGTAGTTGATTGATT